GTGGCACAGCTGCCCGGGGCAGCGGTGGAGCCCCGTCCCCGGGGGAATTAAAAGACCTGTAGATGTGGCACTTGGGGTTTTGTGGTGGAAGTGGCAGTGCTTTCCTTCGTTTTTACACCTGCTTTTTTATTGCTTTTGACCCTCACTGGCATTGGTGAAGGATGTTTTGATTGTAGATGTGGGAGATGCAAGGTGGTTTTTCAAGCCTTTTTATGGGATGTTAGGCATGGAACCTAGAAGCGTTATTGCTTAACTTCTTTTTTTTTCCTGCCAGCCTGGTTTGTGAGTGACTAAAAGCAGGCATTTACTGGCTGTTAATTACCTCCGCATCCCTGCAAAAGCAGTGGCAAGCTGGGTGTGAAAGGGGGTGTGTGTGCCACGCCCTCCTCCTGCAGTGTACGAGAGCCAGGTTCTGATTGCTGCTTGGGAAGAGTTTTTGCCTGACTAACCAATCTAGTAATGGGGCTTGTTAATTGTGCAGAGTTAATTGTAAACCGCAGAGATGCGGTGAACAAACATTTGTTAAGGTGGGTCACAGATAAAAAAATAAACCGGTTCTGAGTAGTTTTGACTGATTTTAAGTGTTGCCTCGGATGCAGAATGAACTAAGATCTGAGCTCAGGTCGTGGTCCAAGCTGATGGGTACCACACGCCTTGCCCTTTTGTGGACCTGAGTAAATCCTGGATCCCATTATCACATATAATCATCCCCAAAGGCAGATGCCAAGAAGAAGATGCCGGACTTTTCAGTGGTGTCCAGCACCAGGATGAGGAGCAACGGCCATAACCTAAACCACGAGAAGTTTCACATCAACACGAAAAAGAACTTCTGTAAGTTGATGGAAACAGGCTGCTCGGGGAGGTTGGGCTCCCTCTCTGGAGCCGTTCCAGCCTCACCTGGACGTGTTCCTGTGTCACCTGCTGCAGGTAACCCTACCTGGGCAGGGGCTTGGACTGGCTGACCTCCAGAGGACAATTGCGTGCTTCTGGCTTGCTGGCGCTGCTGGCAGGGAAGCGCAAGGCGTATCCCTTTCCCGAGAGGAGGCGGCAGAGGGAATCCGGGCCGCTCCCGGGCGGGCGGGACTCCATTCCGGCGCTTGTTTGCTGCCGGCTGGCGCGGCCGGGCCCCGCCGCTCGGCTGCGCGCTGCCCGCCCCGGGGCGTGCGCCGGGCGCTCCGGCACCGCCGGCTCCGCTCCGCGCGGCCCTTCCGCGCCCGCCGCGGATACCGACCGCATCTACCCGAGGAGAGGCCAGGGACAAACACGGCCAGATCCGCAGCCGCGCTGTAAACAATGGGCTCGGAAGCGGCTGCTGCAGCTCCCATGCCGTGAAGAGCGGAGCCGGACTCCGCGGGAGGAGGATGCGTGCGTGGATGTGAGCCGTCCCTCGGCGCCTCTCCGGGATGCCGCTGCCATGGACGCCGGCCGCCGGCGGGGAGCGCAGCCGGAGCCCAGCCTGACCCCGCCGCAGAGCGGGGTGTGACACCGGAGCATTTTTTTTTTTTTAATTACAATTTATTTATTTCATTTTTTGTTTTTTTTTAACCGGGTTGCAGTGGATTGTGGCTCTGCGTTTCCAGCCACCCGCGTCTCTCCCTTTATCCATCCATCCATCCATCCATCCATCCATCCATCCATCTCGACGCCGATGCCCGTGGTGCCCGCCGCTGCCTGAAGGCAGAGCCATCATGTACCTCCTGGACAGCAGCGAGCCGCCGGCCGCCGCCTCCTCCCCCGAGAGGATGCAGCGGGGCACTCCGCAGAGGAAGACCGTGTACCGCATCTCCGTGACCATGGTGAAGAAGGAGCTGCTGGGGCCGGAGAGCGGCCGCGCCGGCCCCGAGCTGCCCCGGCGCGGGCGGAGCCGCCCGCCGGGCTCCTCCAGCCTCACCAGGGCCGGGCTGCTGCTGCTGGAGGAGGAGGAGGGCGAGGAGGAGGGCGAGGAGCGGGACAGGGTCCCCAGCCCCTGCGGCTTCCGCACCTTCCGGACGCTGAGCACGGGGCAGCTGGAGCTGGGCCGCCTCAAGGTGCCGAGGAGAGCGGGGCCGCCCGTGCCCGGGGCGCCGCGGGGCAGCGCCGGACCCGGAGAAGCCGCGGCGGCCGCAGCCGCATCCCCGCCCGGGGAGCAGGGGGGCAAGGACGGTGGGCCCGGCGAGCCGGCCCCGGCGGAGCGGGGCCAGAGCCCGCGGCGGCAGTCGGGGCTGCTGCGGCGGAGCTTCAGCTTCAGGCACTGGAGCGGCGGCGGCAGCGCGGAGCCGGCCCGGGTGCGGCGGCACAGCAGCTCCGGCTGCCTGCCCGGGCCGCCGCCGCCCTCGCCGCCCGCCGCGCTGCCCGCGGAGCCCCCCGAGAAGCGCAACACGCTGGACGTGGGCGAGGTGCTGAGCCAGGCGGACCCGCTGTCCCGGCTGGAGCGCTGGGAGCGCAGCAAGAGCAAGAACCGGACCCTGGATAACAGCGACCTGCAGCGGCTCTCGGAGCGGCTGGGCCGGGAGGGCCCCGCCGCCGGTACCGAGCACCGGCTCCTGCGCTTCTTCAGCGGCATCTTCGCCCGCAGGGACGGCCCCGCCGCCCTCTTCGGCAGCCCCCACGGGCGCTCCCCCCGCAGCAGCTTCTCCAGGTCCAGGGCTTATTTTAGCAGCCTCAGGAGAGCCGCCGTGGACACGCAGTCCAGCTCCGAGAGCATCAACGGGTCCCCCCATAAAGGTGCCCCTCCTTGTCTCCTCTGGGTGGCTCGGCATCGGTGCTGGGGGATGGGTGGTGGGGTCAAGGGGCTGTTGGGTGCGAGGAGAGGGAGATGCTGCACTGGGGTTCAGCAGGGTGGGCAGGCCCTGGCGCAGGGTGCCCAGAGAAGCTGTGGCTGCCCCTGAATCCCTGGAAGTGTCCAAAGCCAGGCTGGATGGAGCTTGGAGTAACCTGGGATAGTGGAAGCTGCCCCTGCCTATGGCAAGGGGATGGGGTGAGATGATGTTTAAGGTTCCCTCCAATCCAAACTGTTCCATGGATACAGCGTGCTTTGAAGCACCTGGTAGTGCAGCTCTGCAGAGTGCAGCTCTGCAGAGTGCAGGTCAGGCTCTCTGTCCTCCTGAACCAAAAATCCCTCTCTGGGGTGACTGGTTGGGCATTCTAGGACAGATGCGTGAGGCAAGTGTCACTTGTTTAATTATGGAATAGAAGCTGGACTGGAGTGCTGCTGTATATAGGTCACTGGGTGGCCTAGTGCTGCACAGCACTGGGACTTTCTCCCTTTGGAAAGACTTCTGCAATCTGAAGCATGGGTTATGTTGGTTAGAAATGGGCACTACTGGAGAAGTGAGTAAATGCTGGTGTAAATGTCTCATAAATCCCACATGATTATTGTAATAAAAGAGCTTGAACTTAGATGTTTTTGAAAAACATAGTATAGAATCAGAAGCCACACTCTTTGAATTATTTTATTACTTGAGTCATTTTATATAGCTGTGTACAAATTAGCCAGAGCGTTTCTAGTCTAGGTGGAAATCAGATAGGGAATTCTTGGGGTTTGTGAATCCCTCAGATACAAGAAAAACTTGAATAAGAACCTTACTATGGGATGGAGGTACCTTACTGTGGGACAGCAGGGAAGAGCTGACGAGCTGCTTTCTCTGAGGATCTGCAAGAATCCTGGTATCACTGGCTGTCAAACCAGAAATGCTGGTTGTGGAGCTTCATTGTGCTTTCTTCCAGCTGTGCTTTCAGATCTTTAATAAGTATCTGTGATGAAACATTTACCCAGCAATTACAGTCACCTTTGAGCACCAAGTGCTTATCAGGTGGCAAATGATCTCCTAGTTGCTGCTTTTCTGAAAACACAATTCTCAATTAGATTAAGCTTTCATGAAGGCCCAGGTACAGCAGAGGATGGTGTGGAGTTGGGCCCAGGTGGTTTATTGGGGAAAGCAATAACCAGCTGCCAGCTCCTTCCATATCCAGAGCTCCTGCTGCGAGTGGAGCGTGCCCAGAGTTTGAGGCACAAGGAGCAGAGCCAAATATTTAGACCTAACAACTGAGGACTGTAAGGTTTTATTGATGTAGGTTTTATTTATGTGGGCTTATAATAATCTTGACGGAAATTGTGGTCTGACCTTGGTTAAAGTTCAAGGAAACCACAACAGCTAATTACTTCATTGGGCTCTTCATGCCTGTCCTGTGCCAGCACACTCCAACTGCTGCTCTCCTCCAGCTGCCCACGGTCAGGTACTGGGAGCACAGTCTTCCTGGCCTGGGAGGAGACCTCAGTTAATTGATAACTCGTGGTACATAGCACTGAGATGTTCCAGAGAGGTTCTTTCTGTGTGTGCCGCTACCAAATTTGTGTGGTGCAATGAAGCCTTGAGCTTGCTCTGCAGAAAATGTGTCCCTGTGTCCCAGCAGGGTGATTGCAGTAGACAACAGTGTGGCAGGCTTGTGTTATGGGTTGGCATGCGTGGTGTGCTCTGTTTCCTTCCCTTTCCCAATAAAAGTGCAGTTTGGGAAAAAACCTTGTGCACAGCTCCAGCTGTTGCTTGTTGGTGACAGTTAGAAAGCTGAACTTGAACTAATTGGAATTTCTCCTACTATATGTTAAGAACAATATTTAATTAGTTATTATTAGCATGCCAAATACATTTTAATATTTTAAGAGTGGAACAAGCTGCTGCTGGACCAAAACTTGTATTTTGCTTCTTTTAGTTGATGTGGAGTTGGTGTGCTCCTGACAGTCCTGTGTGTGGATTCTGGAGTAATTGCTGACACACAGGTGGAACCTTCATTTCATTGCGGGTTTTATGCCTGGAAACTTGGAGAAATTCCTGGCTGTGAGGGTGGGCAGACCCTGGCACAGGGTGCCCAGAGCAGCTGTGGCTGCCCCTGGATCCCTGGGAGTGTCTAAGGGCAGGTTGGATGAGACTTGGAGCAGCCTGGGATAGTGGAAGATGTCCCTGCCCATGGCAGGGAGTGGGATGAGATGGGTTTTAAAGTCCCTCCCAACCCAAACCAGGCTGTGATTTTGATTCTACACTTGTTTCCCTCACGGCCTTGGTATTCTCTGTGTTTGGTGCTGTGCATGAGTTATTTGATGTTTTACTTGCAACAAAAAGACTGCCCAGGGTTTTAAGAGAAAGTAGAAGCTTAAAAAAAATGTAGCTTGTTGGCATTTTTATCTTCAAATATTCACCTGGGTACTGCAGTATCTGCTTGGATGATATTTCCTGAAAAGAAATACTGCAGTCAGGTACAACATAGTTTTGAACATGTTTTAAAGTAGAAGAGTCAAGGATTTTTCAATCTACATGTTTTTGATGTTACTGGGTCTGACTTAGGCTGTGGAGTTGGTAAAGGTTGATTTTTGGCTGGGATCAGTCTGTAGTCTCTCAGTAGTTATTCATGCTGTCACTGAAGAGCCCTTGAGCATCGAGCCTTTTCTTTTTCTACCTGCAAACCCCATTTGCTCTGATGTTGTTGGCCTCAAATCCTATGCAAGTAACAATTCCCAAAACTCTTGCACAGAGAAGCAGGGGATCCATTTATTTGAAAGAAGAAAGGTTTTCTGTATGCATGACCACTATCCCCAAAGGCAGAAAGAGAAACTTCAAGCCAGAGGAGTTATTTTTGCCTTAAACCATTTAGAAGTCCTTAAGGGGAATGTCATTCCTCGTCTAAACTTTTTTCTCCTTGAAGTTTTCATTATTCTTTCCTGGTGAGAGGAACACTTGCTGCTCTTGAGGAAGATGAGGAGGATGGCTCTGAGGCTGAGGGTGTAGGGAGTGGTGTTAAAACAGTTTATTTTTCAGTGGTTCTCACCTTGTTACTTTTGTTTTGAGATAAATTTGTTTGAATAACCTCTCTTTAGGATACACTAACAAGATTTGGGCATCAAAATTGTTGATTATCAAAAAGAGTATCATTATAATATGATAAACTGCTCTTTTGAGGTTTCTCCCCCTGAGGTTTTAGAGGAGTTAGTTTTAAGCTCTTATCTCAAATTCTTTGCAGCTTGGAGTCATGGGAAGCAGGGGGAAGCTGCTGAATGATCTCTGTTGGAGGCCTCCAGCCTTTCCCTTGCAAAGCTTCACTTGAGATAATTCTTGTTAGTTCTGTGTCATTCTCCTTGCTGCTGTGGTCACTGCTCTGCTGTGCTGCTGGCATTCCCAGAGCAGCCCAGGAAGCCTGAAGTGCACGGATGGGTGGGCAGAGACCTGGAGCACATGGGATTTGCACAGGGAGATGCAAATGCACTGGAACTGGTCCTGTGTGGCTCCCTGGGATTTGGCTGCAGGTTTTTGGGGCTGTGCTGGCATAAGCATAATCTTTTTCAGCACTGGAGAGTCCCTGATTTCATGAAGTAAAAGCCTCCTAGCACTCTTTCAGCTGTTTCAGTTCTTGTGAATGTTGTCTAGAGGTTGTTATGAAAATAAAACCCAGCAGATAAATGGATTGTAGTTAGGGTCAAGCATTTTCAAGCATTGTCTAAGAGGGCTTTTTTTATTATTTATTGAGTAGGTCTTCTGTCAAATAAAATGACTGCCAGCTGCACTGATAGAGCCAGGTGATTAAGAACTGAACTGGTATTAAGGTCACTGGCTGAATTAGAGAATGAGATGGATTAATGTGTACACAATATTGAAGCATGTGCCAGCTGCTATCAGCCACGGTCTTTGTTTTTCTCTTAAAATTGAAAAGAAATGTAGAATTTTAATGCCTCTGTTATAAACTTGACAGTTAAATGCCTTATGGCAGTAATGGGTAAGTTTGTTGGGACAGATCACTGAATACTTCTGTGAAGTGTTGTGCAGGCATTCATCTCCATTCCCTCCCAAAGCTCTGTAAATTGAATTAGTTGAATTAGTGCTCTGTTGTTTTGCCAGAGATCTGCCTGTTCCTTGCTTTACCACTCCAGGTAATGATGTGTTTATATAATGAAGCTCACGCAGATGACCAAAGCACAACTTGCACAAGGAAAAGAAACATTCAGAACACGGTATTCCTTTTCCTTTCCTCCTAATTCCTTGCCTTGAATCTGAGGTTGCTCAGTGTGAGGAGAAGCCAAGTGCCAGGTCCTGCCCTTGGGTCACTGCAGCACCGCAGGCTGAGGGAAGAGTGGCTGGACAGGATCTGTAAGGAAAGGACCTGGAGCTGCTGGTCAGCAGCAGCTGAAAGTGGGCCCAGGTGAGCAAGAGGCCAGTGGCCCCCAGGCTGTGCCAGCCACGGTGTGACACAGCCCTAGGACAGGGATTGTCCCCAGGGCTGGCCCTGCTGAGGCCCCTCCAGTTCTGGCACTCACAGCCAGAGGGACACGAGGGGCTGGAGAATGGCCAGGGAAGGGGCTGGAGCCCCACCAGGGGCTGAGGGAGCTGGGAAGGGGCTCAGCCTGGAGCAAAGGAGGCTCAGGGGGACCCTGTGGCTCTGCACAGCTCCTGACAGGAGGGGACAGCCGGGGCTCCCTCCAGGGAACAGGGACAGGAGGAGAGGGAATGGCCTCAGGCTGGGCCAGGGCAGGCCCAGGGTGGACAGCAGCAGGAATTCCCCCATGGAAAGGGGGCTCAGGGATTGAAGGGGCTGCCCAGGGAGGTCTGGAGTGCCCATCCCTGGAGGTGTCCAAGGAAGGGCTGGATCTGGCACTCAGTGCTCTGGGCTCAGGACAAGGTGGGCATCAGTCACAGGTTCAACTCAATGGCCTTGGAGGGCTTTTCCAACCAAAAGGATTC